ATGTCCAAATTATAGAGTGTGACCTGAAAAGCAAATTCTAATAATTAATCATTCTGGTCTATCATTATCAAACCATCGTCACACCTAAAAGCTTAAAAATTAAGCTAAGGTAAAATTTAATAATTTAATATATTCTCAAACACAGAAGGAAAATCTAATTATTTAATAGATTCTCAACCCTACTCAAATATGAGACTGACATTAGCTCATCGATTCATGAGACAGTCAATTAACAATATGAAATCAGGAGTAAATAACATTCCAGAAATTCAATCTGAAGCTAAATTATCAATACTGAAACCTAAATTTCGAACCCATCGTATATTTAATCATTTAATATATTTCTCAAAATTAATCTTCGAAGTCAGTGAACAACATACATTGCTGGCAGTTAATTGCGTTGAAGCCACTGATGATGTGATAAAACCCCCACAAAACATATCGCACATACTAATCTGGATGCGTCACGCACAGACTGCGCATATCCTCATCCTGATACAAGGAATAATGTAAAGCTAGATAAGTCAGCTTCAAACTGTTACGCTAATGTGGACGAGGGAATGTCAACGAGTGAAGGAGACGGATTGGGATGCAAAACGTGAACCTCAAGATTAAAGAGCCGTGTCTAAGAAGTCACCGTCAAATTCAGCAAATCCGCCATCAACGCAATTGAAAATTTGAGGATATAAGTTTCAAGCTACGTCAAATAACGAAGAAAATTCATAAAAACGGAGCAGAGATTTCAACTTACGGATTGATATGACGCGGAACCTTCTTCGTGCTTGATCATGATATCATTCGTTGTGGAGAGTGATTCCATTTGAATTATATATGTGTAAAATTGAGTGATCGAGAGGGCGAAATAATCGAATAGCTTCCATTTAACAAGATGCTGCGGCGTTGTCTTTTCATGCCCCAATTTTCTCAATCTCTTTCACCGCCTTGTTCTCTCTGTTCATCAGAATTTTAGAGTCTGATCATACGGGAAGAAAAGGAAAAAAAACAGAAAAAAAGAAGAAGTGATTTATGATTATGCAAGCCGTTTTCTTTTTTTGTTTCTTTTTTGGAAGAAACAGATGAAACTGATTTGATAGATTTGAATATATTTGTCGGTATCAATTCTTTTTCATATTATTGTTTTTTTTAATATACGTACCTGTTCAACCTTTTAATCATACAACTATTCGTTATCGAAAATAATTTGATGTTAGAGTTATAACTCAATAATAAGATATCTACTAATTCTTCTCATTTATTTGATGTTAAAGTCTGAATATTTAAATCCCCGTCTTATATTTGTTATACTTGTTTGATCAAGAATCTGATCAGGTCTCCAAGCTTCAATTCAGCAGAGGTGAATTGGATAGCAAAATTCCGAATGCCATGCAGAGGACCTGCAAAACAGAGTAGAAACTTCGATGTTAAAGTTAGAGAGTACTCAAGTCAATTCGAGAGAGAATTGGTCTGATTGCGTACCTCGAAATGAAGCGAAGTGGTCTTGTTTATAGGTCGGGGGTCCAACAGGATTCTCGACAGGATCTCAACGACTCTTTAAGGTTGTCATAGAGCACGCAGGCTGTCGCGGGGTATGTCGGATGTTTGGCTGAGCCGAGGCAACCAATGTTTGATATTGGATCAGCTTGGCGTGCGTGGTGGCTCGACTCGGTATGAGGCTTTGTAACAAGACAGGTAACACATAAGCCCGTTGCTCCAACCGCCTTTTACCACGTGTAAAATGACCTCCAACAATACTAAAAAGTTTATTAAAATTCATTAATTTTGGATAAAATTAAATTTAAATGATAGAGAGGATCGAGGAGGATTTAATTATTATATGAAAACTCACAAATTTCATTAACAAGAATCAATTTTATTATTGAACTCTTCAAACAAAAATCTATTCAATTTTTTTTTTTAATAAATCATAATGTAAAACTTGCAATGTTGGTTCAATTTTAAAGTAAATATTGTAATATATATCAAAGTTTGGTACAATTTACCAAAATTGAAAGTTTATGATAAAAGTTGACCTACCTTGTCGATAAAAAATTAATTTATTATTTCTAAATTTATGAACCTGGGATAAATATTTATTCAAACCTATGACAATATACTAAGCATAACTCTTTTAACCATTAATCAATACTATTAATGTATACTTGAGACTAGATCGTGGATATAGATTTTTTTTATTAATTGGTATGATATTTAAAATAGTTTCGTTTGTTGAATTTGATTTATATTGTTTTGAGTCGATTTGTTCAATTTGAATTTTGTAAAAAATATTTGTTTAAATTGATCTAGTTACATCCTAATAAATAAGTTGATATATTTGTAAAATCAAAATTAAAAGTATTTTATATTAGTTGAGGAATACATCATATAAAATTCAACTAATAAAAACGTCTGACATAAAAATATACTAACCAAATTAAAAAATAATAATGATAAATAAACTATAGTTATGGAGACATATTTATATTTAGCAGAGTAAAAGATACTCATATTTTGTGAGGTAATATTCAAAAAAAAAAAAAAGGTAGTAGGGTAATTTAGAATTGTTTTAGACATATTTATCATTTATATAATTTTTAATTTTCAATCTACCTCGCTAATTGTATTTTAATTAAAATAATATTCATGTTGTTTTATTAAGAAGAATTACGTTAAATTAAAAAGTATTCTTAAAATCTCAATTAATTTTAAAAAAACGTATACTTTGTTTGTAAAATTGTTTAAAGATTTTTTTATTTTATTTTAAAACTAAACATAAGATCATTTTTTTTTTACCAAAGTTGAGCAGTAATTGACATATGTGAAGGGTCCGTTTGATAATTATTTATGTTTTTGACCATTTTTGTTTTTTTTAAGCAGAAAACCAACACATGTTTGGTAACCATTTTTAGTTTTCTGTTTTTAAAAAGTTCGAAAATTGAAAATACATATTAAAGAGAGAAAATTTCATGTGAAGTAGAGACGAAAATGGTGTGGGTGCGAGTGAAGATGCCCTATATTTTCAAATATGAATAAATTTTTCATATTTTGTATAAATATATAGCTATTATATGTAGCTAGTATTAGTTAGAAATTTTGATATTTTGATATTTGTTATAATTGTTTGTTGTCCTCATCAGTCAAATCAAATAAAAGGGATCATTTCTCAGGGAAGAACAAATCAAGGAATTTAATTATATCCCTTCTAAGATCGTTCAATTTTTTTTGGTATTTTGTAGGGGTAAACGATACAGAGATACATTAGAGAATATATTTTATAAAAATAAAAAGAAAATTATACCTCCCCATTCTCGTGCTCAGAAAATTTTTAATCCCCGTCTTCACCTCATTCTTCGATCCGAGAGATGTTCTCGGGGAAAATTATTGGTTTTATAATTGTTTTTAATTTAATTATTTTAAGAATTAAAAAATATAAAAAAGTGTAATAAATATATATTAATTATTTAAAAATCGAATTGAGGATGGGGTCGAGACATGCATTTCCTATTTTTTGGGCCCGACCTACGGAAATTTTTGTCATCCTAGAGATATGAAAATACAAGTTTAGAGATATAAATAAACCTTTGGAACATAAATTTTAGAGAGATAAATAAAAAGATTTTAAAAAAATTAGTGAGAAAAGTTCATGAGAAAAATTTTAGAGAAAAAAAAAGTAAAGTCGAGAGGAAAAGATATGTTAAAAAAATTACAATGGAAAAACATTCAGAGATAAAAACAAGATTCAAATAAATAAATACATATATAAATTTTATGTGAAAAAATAGATTAGGAAAGAAAAGTTGTAAAAGACGAAATTTGAGAGAACAAAAGTTTGAAAAAATATTAATTTTTTAGAGGGAGAAATGAAACTGATATATTAAAAAAAATCCGATTTAGAGAGAGAAAAATAAATTTTGTAAAGAGAAATTTAGAAAAAGTAAATTTTAGAGTGATAAAGAAATTTGTTAAGGATAAATATGAGAAATAAAAAAAATTGAGTATTAGAATAAAAAATCAGATTTTGAAAAACCGAAATCGGTTTTTGAAAACTTTTTTTTTTGAAATTTATATAGAATTTCAAAATGGTTTTTAAAAAACAAAAAACAAATTGAATGAGTTATCAAACAACTATGTTTTTAAAAAACTAAAAACTAAAAACTAAAAACGAAATGGTTATCAAACAGAACCTAAGAGATTGTAAGTTCGATTCCTAGTTGTTGTACTAAAAAAACATAACATCATTTTGTATGAAGTCACATCTATTAATGATATGAATCTCTAACATATTCAAATCAAATACAAGTCAACTTAAGCATCATTCAAGACAAAAACATCAATTATGGATTTCATGTTCATGCTACATTAGATGATGCTTCGTTTAATCCTTTATGGTTACAAAAATCTTGGATCGCTGATTTAGTCTTTAATTTTCGGATTTATGGTGTATTTTTAAGTATTTTAAGTTTTAAGACTTTTCATTTACTTTTTAGGTTACAATAGTTTTTGGTCGTTTATGGCATTGATGAACTTAAGTTTTCCAACTCTTCACATGCCCGTATGTTACTTTTAAGAACTATTTTGAAGGTTATATATAGCCATGTATGTCAGCTTTGAGAACATAGAATATAGATTTGAAGATGTAATGAAATGAGCCTTTGAGTCTTCCTTTTAGCCAAGAGCTAATGTACTTTGCAATCTAATGATAACTTGTATGTTTAGGATCATTCAAGTGAGACTTGATCTATCTTGCTTGTGGAGTGATTCAGATCTCAAACAAAGAACACGTTTTCTTACCTTGAGATATTTGATCATCAAGGTAATCTGATTTTTACTTTCCTTGGGTTGATTCCTTAATCGGTTTCATGGTTTTTGGGATTGAGTTCTATGGATCTTATTGGTTAGCAAGGTTATTAGATCCAATTCTCAAGGGTTTCTTAACAATTAAAATATATCATACATAAACTAAAGCGAGCATAGTATAGCGGTAATTGGCGTTCGATCCCGCATCTCCACACGTTGTACTAAAAAACTTACCAAAACTCAATT